GGGGGCTGAAAGAAATCAGAGATGTGCAAAAAACAAAGACATACTAACAGTACCATTTGACTCCAGCGATGTAACACACACAAAAAAAAAGACTGCTAGTGTCACAACAGAACAAGTCATCATCAATGCCTTTCACCTCTGGCAGGGTATAGGCCACATACAAACTCCTTCCAATTATCTCTGTCCTGGGCCATCCTTCTAAGCTCGTTCGATGTCCCTTTCTACACATCGCCATGTTTCCTGTGGCCTACCCCTATCTCGTGCTCCCTGTGGGTTCCACTGCAGACTTTCTTGTGATGTTTCCACTGGGTTTTCTGAGGGTGTGTCCCATCCATCGCCACCTTAGTCCTATTTCTACTTCTATGTCCTTTTGTCCTGTCCTTTCCCACAGCTCTTCATTTCTTATTCTATTCTGCCGCTTAATTCTTAGGGATACTCGTCACAACAAGTACACTGCACAGATGAAAGGCATGTAGGATTTTCTTTTAATCTAAAACATCAGACAAAACAATAAAAGAAAAGACAAAATACAACAGTAAACAATTGGCGATGCTTAATGATTTGTCTCAATCCTGAAATAACCTTTAGTAGATTCAGTCCACAATAAAAAATATAAATCAAAACTAAAGTACACAGTAAAAGTATTTCCCTTTAAAACTGTTTCGGAACAACAAATTATTACCTTTTCTAAAATGACAAGATGTCCAACTTGTATATCTGAACTAGGAACACGAATTATCCCATCTCGAGTAAGCTTCTTGAATTTTTGAGAATTTGCCTCCTTGTCCCTCCTATATCGGCGGTAGTCATCCAGGGCCTCTCGACTCATGGTCACAAACAGCACAAAAGCCTGAAAGACAACAAAACAAGAGTTTACAAAAGAGTAGCTGACACCAAATATTTTGTCCTCTTTTTAAAAGATAAAGAGTGCCAGGCTTGACAGTATAGCTTTTGCTTTGGAAAAGTCCCCTATCCAAAAAAAAACAATTACAGCCATAATCCCTCAGAAAACCGAAAAAACAAAACAAAATAAGAGCAATATTAAAGAAGTATCAATAGGAGACAACCCCACAGCATCAAGAATATGCATAGCTTTTGTAATAATATTTTATAAGTACCAACAGAAAAGAAAACTGATGATGTACAGAAAATAAACATAACAATCCCAAAAATTGGCAGGTGAAATGTCACAACATACATAATGTACACATCCTGCATATTGAAATGGTAATACTTCGATTGAAAAGAAGTACGTCAAGATTGTGAGAGGGGAAAGTTTAGTTTTAGTAAGAGTTTTACGGCACTTGCAATACAATAAGGTCAAAAAGGGCTGAAGATTAGAGGTGTTACAAGAGAGTAACAAAAAAAAAAAAGAAGGAAGGCAGATAAAGACGATAGATGTTTGATAGGAAAGAAGAAGCAAACCACACCAGAGCACCCGCCAACCACCCACTGAAAGGGGAAAAAAGCAAGAGGAAAGATTAAAAACTAAAAAGAAGAAAAAAACAGCAACTGACCTAACAGTGGCACTGTCCAACCCCCTTTAGCAAAAAAAACAGTAAAATATGCAAAAACACTTCAAACAATAGCAAAATAGAACATAAAAGTATTCATTCCTATTTTCTCTTTCCAGCTTCTTCGTTGGTACACAAAAAGTATTCAGTACTCTCATAGCATATCTTTAGCCTCCCAACAAATGGACTTTGCACCTAGCCATTATCATAACACATAAATAATGTTTGAAAACAGATGAGGACACTGACCCCATCTCACAGGTTAGTTATGAGGGGGAAAAAAAAACAAAAAACCCCACACATTTTCAAAGAGAGGGACAGCATTATTAAGGGTGAATTCAGTCAAGATGTAAAAATTATCCCAATAAAACATCAAAAGCAAACCTCCTCCACGAGATCAATATGAAAAAATACAGAATGCTGAGGGTATCATAACACAGCTTGTGGGTCTTCAATACAGACCCACAACTTTTTCATTTTCAAAATTTGGGCCACCAACAATCTTCCTTTATTCTCTGTAGGCCTAGGTGTTTTACCACCCCCATCAACAAAATTTAGATAATTGTTTTAGACAGGCTTCGACCCTGCCTGACAGGTCAATCAGGCTGAGAAGGACATAACATCCCAAACAAAAGGACCAAGATGCAAGATAAAAATTCTCCCCACTCAGGAATCAAACTTGGGTCTCCTGTGTGCAACAGTGAAGCATGAAACAGCTTCACCAAAGATGCCGGTTGACCATGATGTCAACACATACAGTGGAGAAATCGTGATCAGTTCACTTACCAGAGGCCCCCAGTATGTGTACAAGTATCCAATTCTCAGCTCAGGGATGAACTGGGACAAGGCGATGATGAGAAAGTAGAGGTTGAGGAAAAACTTGAACTGCTCAAATAAAACCTGCAAGACAAACAAAACAAAGAACTTTAGTGAGTTTTTGTCTGACATTACACTTTAGTATCACACAAGGCATTTTTGAATGAGATTTTTGTGTTCCCACATTCCAAAGTAATTGCGCACAGTATACTGGTTTGAAGGTCGATGAGAGCAAAGGTTACCTAGTCATGCAACATTGTTCAACATATCGGGCTGTTTGGAACAATGATATTGACTGACACAAGGTATCATCTATGAAGTATGTTACGATTGCAAAACAGTTAATATGAGTCAAGTTTAAACACATGACTAGAAATAAACAGTCATTTCCCAGATGGGGCTTTGTTTAATTAAGTTTAGTTTTAGTACAAGTTTTATGGCACTAGTAACACAAATAGTTCATACAAGGGGTGAAGACTAGAAGTGTTACTGTAGAGTAACATACAAATATAAGAAAGAGAAAAAAAGGACGATTACTGTTTGATATATTAAAGAAAGGGCAAACAACATCAGAGCACCCAACAACCACTCACATGGTCTGTTTGAACAGAGGTCAGAGTTGTTGTTGAGTGGTTATTTATGTTAAGTTGCCATCACAAAAGTAAGATTATTACATTAGCTTCAGTAAATAGAAGCACAGTCATACAATGAGGGTCATCTTGTGCAGGGGAAAAAGCAAGAGAGACAGACAGGGAAAAAGGAGGGGAAAAAAAGAAAAAGGAAGGCCTATCAATGGTACCTTTCAACCACCAGCTTATTATTTCATCAAAAAGAGGATTATGAAAACATCAGATCAGATTAGCTAGAGTAAAGCAGAAAAAAAAAGGAAGAAAAAAAGACAGTGTAATTTATAATAATAAATTATCAACATTAGAACTGAGCTTAGATGCTCTTGACTTGGTCTGCCATGGGAGAGGATGCACTTCTAGCAGCTCGTGAGCACGGCATTTATTTGTTACCCATCCATGAACGAAGGGAATCGATGAATAAATATCAATAAAGAATGTGCTGTGAAAAATTGCTAATCAAGTTGCAAAGGCTGTAAAAGCGCTCAAAAGACTCATTATCATTTAATCAGGTATCTTAAACAGGCAGGAAAGTATGGACACTAAACTATAGAAAGTATAGAAAAGTATGAATTTCTGACAGTAGCCCAAAACTACACCATATTTTCCTCCTCTTTTACTCCCTTCCACATCCATACCTAAAGGCACCCCGCCCCCTTACTTTTTCAACAATAAGAGTTGTATGCCCATGAAATATTAAACCCACAAATTCCACCTCGCTCCACCAACTGCTGTACAGTAACCCCACTGGTAATAAAACCTTTATGGCTGTAGCATTTCAGACCCCCTAGGTCCCAAGTAACACAATACCAGTAGGCATCTGTTCACCGTCACAGATGATAGCACGAGTGATGGATTGGTCTATGCCTTGTGGTGATGACACATCTCCCTAATGAGGATTAGGCCAAAACCAGCAAACAAATATGAAGTACAGTGAACGTTAGGGAAAATGGGAAGTCTGCATGATCTACTGTCTCCAGAGGCAGGGAATGTGGTGCTAGAGTAGAAAAGTTTTTTTCTTTTATTTCGTGACCCTTCTTAACCCCACTTTCCCAACGAATGTAACTTCAAACCTCTTATTCACATGCTCCCGAGTTGATCTCTTGGGAATTAACGCTATTTACTCTTTGAGCCCTCACTCCCTGGCAGTGCAAGATTTGCCCAACCACACACTCAGACCGAGTTCTCGTGTCCATAGGGGAAAGTTACCGAAAAACGATACTTCAACAACTGAATTTAATTATGACTTCCTCATGGTATTCTTCAAATAATCATATTTAACAGATAAACATTTAAATACTCAGGGTCATACCTTAGGTATGAAGGTGATAATGCTGTACTTTTGGTTGCGCACCACATTGCGAGGGTGTTTCTCCGTCTGGTGTGTGCCTAGCCCGATGTGCACAGTCCGCGGACGCAGCTCCTTCTCTCTGCAGCACACCGAGAACACTCGGCCCCAGCAGCTGTGCAAAACACAGAAGGACCAGGAGAGTAAATTTTACGGCACCATGAGAGAAGAAAATTGAAAGAATAAGTTCTGACAAAGTACATGTGAGATAGTAATATTTATCACAAAAACCATAATAGACCCTTAAAGCTATGAAAGGGAAATGGTGATAGCTGAAGTAACAAGATATATGGAAATAAAAAGATTTTTGTGTCACAAAAGAGCAAACCTGTATACAAAAACAACAAAAGCAACATGAATAATACCGACTTTGTAAGGGTATGGTCCATCACATGAGACAGTTTTTGTTAGGCTTTGGTTACGAGTTTTAATACAAGCAGTTCATAGAAGTGCCGAAGACTAAAGGTGCTACTGAAGAGTAACAAACACGAAAAAGAAGGAGGAGAGATAATGACGATTGATGTTTGACAAGAAAGAAGAAGCAAAGCACACCAGAGAACTCGCCAACCACTCATTATCACAACAACAAAAGCAAAACAAATAACAACTTAGTGAAGGTATGAGCCATCACACAAGGCAGTTTCTCAACTACAAAGTTTATGAAGCATACACAATTACAAAATGTAGGACCACCAAGACCATTACCTCTGAAGTTTTTTTCTCATTGTCATTTGAAGCACCGAAACACATGTTACATTCTCCATTGTTTTATTTGTAAACAAATTTCCAAAAGCTGGACTGAAAACACCAATGCAAATTACAAATCTTCAGAGTCCCATATAGAGAAATATCCACACAACAAATAAAATCCAAAGAAAAAACTTCTCTTCAATTGAAGTATAATCTCTGAATCAGATTAAACCTATCCTTAAAGAGCTGCAACTAAAAAAGTTTCACAAGGAAAACCAAACTTGTCCTTGAGAAACAAACAGTCAATAGTAGGAAATTTAAAAAAATAAGTTCCTCCAATGCCTATAACAACACAGTTTATTTCATGTCTGCTTAACATCCTGTGAGTATAATAACACCCTCAAACGATAGAGTTTAGAAACATCTGGCTCCAACTACTCTTTGGTTGACAAAACACGCCCATAGACCTCTCTGTGTAAGCATTCCCTGGATAAGAACAGGAAAACAGAAACTACAAGAAACCCTTCCATCCAATAAGCATACAACATAGTTGGGTTTTTTTTAATTTCAGCTATGAAAAAAAATGTTCTCAGTGTAAACACAATCTGAAGAAATCTTCTGAACATCCATACCAAAACTGACAGCAAAATACATAAAAACACCAGTTTCCAAAGATTATTCCAAGTTCATTAACTCATCCTAAAGATACGTTTACATCCTCACATAACACGAAGAAAAATATTTGGATCAGAGAAGCACAGAGACAGAAGCCAGAGACACCAAAGCGCCTGTTTACACAAACAGGGCACGAATGAACTAACTCTCTCTACCCCTCTTCAAGTAGACTTCCATTGCTGACTATCCAAAAAGCAATTACATTCACGCATTATAAAATCAATAGAATTTAAATATAGAGAGTGTAGTACACATCAGCTATAATCTTGAAGCAGACATCCTCTGGATCAACATGAAAAGATAACAAGGTAGTTCCTTCTAGATTCGTGTACATCCACAGAGCTGGAGGATAACCTGTGCTTCTCAAACTTTCCAACAGATGCCTCCTTTAATTAAACAGAGGGAGAGAAGGAGGAGGAAAGTAGGGAAAGACTGGGGAGAGACTGAGGGACAGAGGTCGAGTTAAAGCTGGCACACACAGAGGGAGGCTTACAGTAACAGCAGCAGCAGCTCTCTCTCTCTCACATACACACACACACACACACACACACACACACACACTGTGAGTGCAGATGGAAACAAAAAACCAAAAGGGCAACAGCTGTGGCAAGTAATACTGAAATGATGTATGTATGGAGGAAAAGCAAAAAAAAAGGGTGGAGGGGGGTACCACATTACATTACTGCATAATAACTGTATGAAAACTCTGAAGGGGAGAAATGGGGAAAGGGGGTGTGAGGGGGGGTTGAATGTAACTGTATGTTTGTATGTGAGGTGGGGCAGATGAATAACAGGAGATAAAGAGAGGATGTGTGTACTGGCATGTGAATTTTTTTAAATCAAGGGCTCATAAAAGAAAAGCTGATGAGAGAATAGAAAATTCATCCGCTAAAGGCCATAAATGTTAAAACATAAACACTGGAAACGTTTCCCCAGTGTACACCATGGTTAGGTCATAAACAATTAACAAGAACTGTCAGAATCTCTGCCCTTATTACAGACAAAAGTGTTACAGACCGGGTTTAGAAAGAGACTTCCATTGTGTAAGAGGACATACTAGTACACAGAACAATAAGCCGGAAAATGACCATACCTTGTCAAAGACAGTTTAAACAATAGAAGACTGAAAGAAGAAAGAGACACAGACCACATCATAGAACACATCCATGTAAGTAGAAAAACAAGCTATGTTTTTTAATGTAGACAGGGACAAAAAACATCAAAGTCAGACCAGTGCCAAAAAAACAGCACTGCCAAAATACTAATATTGACAAATATATTATTCACAGCGTCACTTTTCGTCTGATTCTGTTCCTTTTAGTTAGCGTGACTCAGCAAAGGAGCTCCAGCATCACGGAGTTAATGAGCCCTGAAGCGACTTTGCCGGTGTCTGTTAAGAAATTTGCACTTTTGTCTACATTTGAAATGCTATAACTTCTTCCCCATCCCACACAGCAAACCATTACACTGATGCACTAAAAGCTCAATGTCTTGAGATTTATTCTGCGATAGAATGGTTAATTTCTGTTCCTTAGTTTTTGTTCTAGACAAGTGTTTGTAGAGTACCCAATTTGTCCTAGTTTAGTCACAAACATGAATAAAGGTATGTCAATTTAAAAACACCACAACAGATCTCTCCAAAATCTGTGTTAAACTGACTATGAATATCATGTCTTTTACCATGAAAAAATCTTAAATCTGCGCAAGTAGTAATTGTCAGGTTATAAGAGAAGAAAGATGCACGTCTGCATTTTTTAACTAAAGACACTCAGCGTAAACTCTTGTTTTAATATTAAACAAGAGAAAGTTTCTCTGCGTTTGTTCATAAACCCTGCTGTGTCTGTGGCAGCCTGCATACAACTAAGAAATATATATTATGCGATTTTTTAAAACCACAAAACTGTGTAAATACATGAGTAGAGATAAACTTCTTGTATGGAATAAAAATAATGACAGCTAACACATTCATTCTTAGTGTTTGTGTGGGAAATATGCGCGGACACTTAAAAACGTGTAAGGTAATTAGAACATTGTCAGGTATTGCAAATGGTCATTGAAACGAAAATAAACGCTGGAAAAGTCTGGCTGTGATTCAGTGTCACTGGAAAGCTAGAAACTATTCTTATAACCCAATTACCAGAAGTCATCCCTGTTATTCAGTCAACTTACAAAACCTAGACTTAGTGTTCTAAGAAAAGTAAGGAATTTCTGGAGTGTAACACTAACAGATACTGTTTGTGTATAGCATTGTAGATGTTTTTCTGGCTTTAAAATCAGAAAATATGCGAATATTCACGATTATATTCGACAAATAAAGTTGCATTTGGAGGAATTACTTCAAAGCGAATTGTGTGCCAGATGGATAAAGTTGCAAAATTACAGCTTTCTATTATATGCGCAGATACCATCTTTTATGAGTATCTGCACCAATGTTATGCCATTCATGTTCCAAAAGTTGGACAGTTTTTGTCGTGCTGTTTTTTTTATATTGACCTTTTTTCATCACACTTGTCCAAGAAAATTTACAATTTAGCATTGCCGACTTCAGCACGGCTAAAGAAATAACCGGACAAGTTACAATGTCCGTTCTTTTTTGAGTGTCAAGAGCAGAAATGCGTGTTTTGGATGCATTAAATGATAATTACCATAAACAAAAGGATACACCTAAAACTGTCTGTTGAAAAGTACCATAAATCAAGTCAGCCCAGACAGAGCGGCGACAGGGAACTGACCCTCGTGCCCCCGACGTGATAAGGCGCTTGGCGGGTAACCCCCCGCTGCAACTAAAAATCCACTGCCGGTGCATCATGTATTGTGTCTTTGCCAATACAGAAGAGTTGTATCTATGCATAGTCTACATCCAGTCAGTACTACCATGGTTATAATATTTCTTTAAAGCCAACTAAAATATCAGTAACACTGAACATATTTAGTAGATGGAGCAGACAAAGCACCTACAACACAAAAGAAACAACGGGGAAAAAAGTCTTAGCCAATACAGAAGAGTTGTATCTATGCACAGTCTACATCCAGTCAGTACTACCATGGTTATAATATTTCTTTAAAGCCAACTAAAATATCAGTAACACTGAACATATTTATTAGACGGAGCAGACAAAGCACCTACAATACAAAAGAAACAACGGGAAAAAAAGTCACGGAAAAGATACAGCATCAAATTTCTTAATCCCATCGAATATCTCAGCTTGACCTACTTTAATGAGTACACAGATAGAACAGCTGATACCATGCTTGACCAAGATGCTGACAAATCTAGTTCAAGTCACTGAAGGAGCATTCTTAACACTGGGATGTATTTACTGCTCTTCACTCACTTGTCTTGATTCTTCTGATACGGACAATAAACAATTGAGGCCCTGCCTCTGAAACAACCTTATAATGTTGAAAAAGGAATTTTTGGGTTTTAAAAAAAGTTTTAGTAGAGGTTTTACGGCGCCCGCAACTGCATAAGGTCATATGAGCACCAAGGGGTGGATGTGAACAGAGAAGTCCTTACAGGGAATCAGACTTACTCTGCTCATCTCTCTAGCTTCAACAGCACAAAATCTGCTTCGACTATCAAGGCACCCCGGAAATAGAGGGTCACAAGAGTGAGACAAACATACAAAAGAAGTAGAGGAAAATGACAATAGTAAGGATTAGGAAAGAAAAAGCAGCAGTTCCCTGTTGTAGATCAGGCACAGTTATGAGTGTGACATTGATGAATCAGCCCATTTACAATTCTACTGTGCATGAACAAGAAATGTCCCCCCTTTGGGAATGGTCTAAAGACACTTCAGTCAGTGGCACCGCCCTGGGGGGTAGAAAAAGGAGTTTAACTGACAACTTTAATACTTTCACGAAAAGAATCCTTTTCAATCAAAATGAAAAGAGGAAAGTGGATTATATTTCTCTTTTCGAAATCCTGAACATCAAGACCAAAAATGAACACTTGTTTGCAGCTTGAGTTTTCTGTCAACATCCCACTATAACCGCTCTTCTTAAACAGGAACTTATTCCTCTCTGTTGAGGAATACAGAGAGAAAAAAGAAATCCGAAAAAGTAAACATCTGCTTTGGGAAACTATGGTCACATTTTCCACTCAAGAAGTCCTGCCATAACTTTACACAAGGTACATGATGAAATCCTCATCCAAGCTATTGCTCATGAACTGTCCATGTCTCCTCTACATGACTTTAAAAAATCATCCATTAAATATATCTAAGACCTATTAATCAAAGACGCCACTAAAATATAATATATTCATATTCATGATACATATGTGAAGCATCATGGTGAAATCAGGCACTAGTCAAAATAATGAAATTGAAGGAACCTGCATTTTTCTGGCCGTTAGAAATTCTTTCTAATTTTCTTTTTTTGGCTCAACACCTTTGATGTCTATTTAAAAATACATTTCTGAGTGGACTTTACTGAAAAAAATTGATAAGGACAAAAAAAGGAAATTTTCAGTTTCCAAAGACTCAGCTATGGAAAAACCAAACCTTGACGGCCATTTTCTCATTCATTTTACTTCTGAAACCAGGCAACCCTCCCCTCCTTCAGTCGCAAATATTTCAACTTCTATTCAACATAGATGGATATCTTTTTCACCAAAAGCAAGGCAAAGGGACAGGCTTTAAGATGATAAAAATAACCCCCTTAGGCCCCTTACCTAAAATTGACTAGTCCCTCATTCCACGTCGTGCCACATATACACACTTCAGTCTCTTGACTTGTAAAAAAATGTTGGCCACGGAGTTTTCCTTTACAAGGGTTTGGGTGTGAATAATGTCCTATTACAACAACCTCCACCCCTCATTCCACAACAAAATGCATTAAAGTACCTCTGTCATCTATTATACAAAGCATGAAATTTCAGCTTTTCTAGTCAAGAAAACAGTTTCTCGCACCTGCCAAGCACAATGTCTTTCTTTTCACATTAGGAGATGAAAAAAGCAAAATACCTGAAAAGAAGTTTGCCTCTGTAAGTTAACCCTACAATAACATACAAGATCCGTCTCTTTCAAAGACTGACACCTAAGGTACACTCTGAACTACTCAACATCTGAAACAAACCTCTACATCTATCGGTAAGCACATATGCCCCATATTACTATATCCTCTCCAACCCCCCCCCCCCCCCCAAAAAAAAAAATTTGTTATTCAAACAAGGGGGAAAAAAAGGTCAATGATTATAATATATCATCGCCTCAGAAACTTTTTTGTCCAAAGTGCACTCTTTACTTAAGTACACTTTAGACAAAATAGTTCTCAGGCGACAATATATATGGTGTGAAGATCATAAGCTGCTTTTAAATGTGAAAAAACCCAAAAGAACTTGTTGACTTCAGAATAAAGAAACTGCCCCTGCAGCCACTTGAAATTAAATGTGAAAACATGGAGCAAGTGTCAGGCTTTAAGCATTTGGGAGTTACAATAGACAACAAACTCAGCTGGCGTGTCAACACTTCTCTCCTGCATAAAAAAGTGAACAAAAGACTATTTTTTCTCAGGAAGCTAAAGTATTTTAAAGTTGATAAAACATTGATGTCCATGTTCTACCATTCAACTATAGAAAGTATGATAAATTTTGTATAACAGCATGGGACGGAAACACAAGACAACAAGAAAAAAAAAAATTAAATTGACTAATACAGAAAGCATGTAAAATTTCAACATCTACATTCCCCTACTTGGATGAATTGTACATAACAGCTTGCACTAAAAAAATTAATTCTATCTTTTTCTACAACAAATATCCCTTGTTCCCTCAAATAAAAACATCAGTCAAAAGTAAAAGACCTAGGCTTTTGATCTGTAACAAAGAAAGATATAGAAAATCATTTTTACAATCATCTATCAAAATGCTTCCACCTTAACCATCTTATCTTGTATAAGTATACTTACGACCTTAGAGCATGCATCAAAATAATATTGAGTGTGTACCTAGCTTACGATTATTATTGTTTATATTGCTGCTCATTTATATTATGCATGTGATTGTAAACCTACGTATGTGTGCATGTGTGTGTGTGCGCGCGCGCATGTGTGTGTGTGTGTGTGTGTGTGTGTGTGTGTGTGTGTGTGTGTGTGTGTACACATGACGAAACACCAAACCAATGTGCCAGGATCCGAACAATAAAGATGTATCTTATCTTATCTTATCTTATAAACAAGACAACTTCATAATGCTCATATCAAACCATTTCTAAAACAAATTTTTTTTCTTTGGTCTCCCTTCCCTTCCTCCGCCTCCCACCCCATCCTTCCAACTACACCCCCCACATGGTTCCATATATATTTCTTTTTTCAATTCAAGCACTTGCTTTGACAGTTTTTGCCCATCTCGAGCAACTTTCCCTTTTCCACTCATACAATATAATTCTCATTTTTGTCTCTTTCACTTTTTAAAGCATTTGAGTTATGCTCTTTTGACTTCAAATGACTTACTTTGTACACCACCCCCACCCCCCCAAGCAGTGCTACTGACTGAAGTGTAGACAATTCCCATGGGGGGACAATAGCATGTTCTTATGCACAGTAGAATTGTAAATGGGTTGATTTATCAATGTCAAGCTTATACTGTGCCGGAACAACATAAGAGGAACTGCTGCTTTTTTTCCCCTCATCCTTACTATCATCATTTTTCCTCTACTTTTTTTGTATGTTTGTCACTTTCTTGTGAACTGCTATTTCCGGGGTGTCTTGATAGTCTAAGCAGACCATGTGCTGTTGAGGCTAGAAAGGTGAGCAGAGTAAGCCCCATTCCCTGTTTGGACTTCTCTGTTGACATCCACCCCTTGGCACTCAAATGACCTTATGCAGTTGCGAGTGCTGTCAAACCTTACTAAAACTAAAAAACTAACTTACTTTGAACAGAAGCTGGACCAACGCTGCGACAAGAAGCTGAAAAAGCCCCTCGTCCGGTAGCGCCGCCGCCGCTCATTGACCAGACGGTCACTCTCGTCCATCTCAAAGCTGTCGCCGCACATCAGGGGCACTGTGTCCAGGCAGGCGCCGTGGTCATCCTCATCGTCAGAACTCACTGCCCTATACGTGCATAAGAGGAATTCGAAAACTCAACACAGGAATAGCATATCAACGCATAAACTATTCACAACAGAAAAGACACTAGCACTGAACTCTTTTTGATCATAACAGAAATATTTCGTAAGTAGGAGAAATCATAAACCTCTTTTGAATTCCTATCGAACAAGACGTAGGAGGTAACAGCAACTAAAAGCTAAAACGAAAACTATTTTGGCTTGTAGCAACAATTTTCCAGCCACATCTGTACAGAAAGGAACGTTATTTTAAAGAATTTCAACACCGACCACTGCAGATTTAGTAGCCCGTAAACAACATGAAAAATTGCCACAAAAAAAGAAAAAAGAAAAGAAAGCACATTATGTTAACGTTGAGTTATAGATTTCTTCTTCTGTCGAACAAAAAACAGATGTCACCAGCGGATTAAGGGTAAACTTTTAAGAGCATAAATCAATAACGTTTCCCAAGGCACATACTTTGCTTTTTTTCCCTTCACATCACAATCATTTTCAAAGAACCCAGCTGAGCCTTATAACTTTCCGTGACCTGGTAAATTTCTTATTCTAAATGGGAATAATTCCAACTTGTGACAAAAACTCATAATTATTTCTGACTAACATTAAACTTCAATATAAATATTGCAATAAGCCTTCAAAAGGCATGAAATAACATTGCATAAACTAAAGAAAAGGTTAAATGAATAAGGCAGGGCAAAATACCCCACCATCTCGGATCCTTTGTGTCTAGTTTATGCAGTTGAAAGTTGGTAAATCCCAATTTATGTTACAATTATACAATTACAATGAGCAAAGCAATACAATGGATTTTTGGAAAGGGAGAATTTTTGGTGAGGTAAGGACAAGGAACACGTTATAACATTAAGCATTTACTGGTGAAGGTGTGAAGGTAGCAGGTAGAAGCAGTCTGGTACATGATATCTTCACTTAACAAAGTGAAAACTGAAAATGGACAGCATCATCACAATGCAAGCTGGTGCTTTTTCAATACAGCTGAAGTTTGACAGACATGATTCTTACATCACATTATAAATCACCAACTATTTAGTGTCTGGCCACAAAAAGATGGGAGCAGCAATCGAATACTGAATGGTTAAGTAATGCATCTTTACATTTACATGAAGTTTAATATAACTAAGACATAATAATAATACAAACTTCAAGCACAAATTATATTTATCAATAAGAAACACAAACTGAGTCATTTGTAAGAAAGAACAGCTACCTGTAACAACACACACTCTTTTCCAAGCCACAAAAATTACTCCGTCACAAAAAAATGAACTCCAACATTCAACACTCAGCCAAACATGAACAGGAACCCCAACAGGCAAATAAATCCTCTAGTGCAGTGAACTGAAACAGTCCTTGCCAATGAAGTTAACTTTTGTGGTGGCAAACCTCCCACCCAGCACAAAAACAAAACCCAGCAACATAGCTCCAAGCAGAAACGACACAGTATTTAGCAGTAGACCATGCAGGCAAATTGTTCAAGGCAACAGGTAATTACCTATATAAATAATAATGAGAGTGAGATAATTACACATGTTCCCTGGCACTGGGAGAATTTTGCTTGCAACCAGGGAAATAAACCAACAAAAATAAAAGAACATGCTTTCCCTCTGTTGTGATGTAAAATGTGTTAAGCTGGATTTTTAAAAATTATGCTTTTAAAATCAAGACTGAGCCAATAGAAACTTCACATGTTAATTTTAGAATCATTTTATCTTACTTGTTTTATATTCAGACTTACAACTACAATTTATATATATACATCAAAAGAATTTGACTTTGATTTGTTGAAAAAGTTTCTCATCCCCACCAAAGGAGGTTTTTATATCAGACCTTTACAGTTATTATTATTTGACACACATTTATAAAGAGCAGATTGTTAAAAGTTTGTGTGACACATCTAGTATATTACCCAAACACAAATATGCGCTTGTCACTTTTCCCTTTCAACTCTCACTGCAGTCTTTTAAGCCAGCTCTGCTTCGAGAGACAGTGAGCTGGTAATGTTTGAAGCAAGATAAGCGAAAGATTCTATAATGTCAAGGCGATGCTTGTCAACAGAGACGGAAAGGAGAGAATCTTGGTTCAGTTTCATTATCTGATCTCAGTCTTCCTGAGAGTGATGGTCAAGTCCAAACTCGCCACAGATGTGTAATGTGTAGTACACAAGCTGCTGTAGCTGAGTTTTCGGGGCTCTTCGTCCTCCATTCATATTACAAAAAACATGTTGTATGACAGACTCGCCGAGGATGCACAACCAGTGGGGTGACTAAACTATATCTTCAAAGTAAAGTGAAAGAGAGACTTGAAGGTGGCCTACATCAACCCAAAGAGCAGGAGGCCATGGCTGACGACAAAATGACATGTTGAGCAATTTCCGATGGCACATGAAAAGCAGAGACACAGAGACTTGACCACTTGGGTGATAAGAGAACCAGATAGACAGTATCAGCACCCACCCCGGCCAACTTTGTCTGTGACCATTGTGGCGGATAATGCTACTCCAGGCTCTGGCTACACAGGCATGCCAGGAAGGTCACTTCAAGAAAGAGGCACTGGTGCTTCACACCACTCACACATGTGCAGGGTAATCATAATGCGTAAATTAAGTACCAAATTAATTTAAAAGATGCTAAATATACTCTTCCATTTTGATATTACCAAAACTGATGAGAACATCAGACAGACAGATATACACCGCAGGAGTGTGTTTGATGGTGAGCATATGTGCATCCAGGGATTTTGGGGCATTATTCATAAAGAGACGATCTTATGGTAGAAAACTTTCTTGTTGCTTATGAGCACTTGTTTTGGTAATACGGTTTGTTTTCAACCTTCAGTGTCAGTATAGCCTGCAATGAAATAAAGAATAAGGCCTCTAGCCTTGACTTTTATTCACATTTTCACTTGGCATTGGGCAAGCACTTATGGCATGTCATATTGCATTGATTCTTCATGGCTTTTCGCTTTTCTTGACACAAATACTATGTTTATTCAACCCAGTCAAACACGTACATAAACCTGAAGAGAAAGTACGGGGTTCAAACTCAATGGGGAGGATGGGAATCTCCATGAACAAACATTTAGAGTGAAGAACCAGAAAACTGAAACCAGTCCTTTCCATCATAATCTTGAGTAAACTGGACATAAAAAATGTATAACAACACACAGGATTTTTCACTACCCTTTGCCTCGGATTTTCATTTATCCCAGGCTGAAAACTTTTTAAATTGCACAGAGCTTACCAAAAAAAAGTCAAATAACAGACTTTACCGGCTTTCCCATTTTATCTGCACACAAAACTTTGTAAATTGCATCGTTTACAGGAAAGTACTTTAATGCAGGCAGCTCAAGATTGTTATGTTTCTGAAAATACTGAATACAGGTTAAAGCTAGCAAAGCAAAGATCAGATATGCATTAAATATTTTTAAATTAGGTAAACAAAAGACTTTTAAATGATACAACTTTGCAGCCTGAGTAAAAAGGATGGTTTGAGTGATAAGCAATTTCCCCCCGACGAATGCATGAGGAAAAAGCTGATGCATTGAAGCAGCAACCAGATATCCTGAAAAGGCAAGGCAGACATCATCATGCAGAGGAAAGGATTTTTAAAAATTTTTGGACACTTTTAAATTACGAGCCACAATGACCTGAATGCTTTTAAGTAATTTGAACAAATGGAACACACAAAAATAAAATACAAACGACCCAAATAACAATATTGACACAACACTCTAATAAACATCAATAATCTTCATTACACAGATCTCTCTGATTAAAAAACGTTATTAATGTTACGCGTGGTAGAGAAAATTCAAAGGACTTTTCTTTGATATTCTTTCAAGTCATTCTTTGGGTTAAAAGTGGGAAAACACACCAGGAACGGAAACAATAGAGCTACAAAAGAAGCAATGACATCCGTGAATGAATGTGTAATAGATAGCTCTGAGAGGCAAAATGGGATGAGCAGTGTGGGGAGCAGGAAAGGGAAGGGAAAGGAGAGATTTACAAAGGTGACACCCTCCACCTTACCCCAGATCTACCAGACGAAGATCCATAGCTCAATATTTCTCCTAGACACTCTGTAAGACAAATGAGGACAATAAATCCAAAGCCTAACAAAAGCATTTGAGCTAAAAGAAGACCCTTTAGCCTTCACAAATTACTGACTTAAATATTTCACATTAGACATGAATGAAAATCATGGCAGTGTTTGCAACAATTTGCTGTCTCTAACATTGCAAAAAAAATTCTTCTTTCAATCAAGTGAACTTCTAGTGTAGCAGCATAATTTGGACCATTAACTTTAAAGTACAGGAAATATTTCAAGGGCAAAAACGCTAAGGACCTCCTCAATAAATATAACAGAACTAAACAGACAAGGATCTTGCTTCCAGGTAGCAAGCTTGGTAGAGTTGCATGCTAAAACTGAAAGGTCACTCCATAAGACACAAGGTTTTTTAAAAAATTCTAAGAATTTCATAAAGCCCTACAATTCAATATTTTTAGTCACTGAAGTGTGTTGTATGTTAAGCTTTTTAAAACAGGAGCCATACAGTTTCACTTTCGTGCTACGATTGCCTCATTGCGCTTTTTGAAGACAAAAACATTTTTGGCATACAAGGCCAACTTGATACTTGACACAGAGGCCTTTTAATCATTACACTAGATAGGAAGCAAAGAGAAATAAAAACATAAAGAACATAAACAAAGAGAGGGGACAAGTTCAAGTACAAAACATTTCATAGGAAACACACAGCACATAAAAAAACAGCAGTCAAGCTGGTCAAATCACAGGCACGTATAAACTGAACTAAGGCCTCAGTTTTCTGGGGAAGATCATCTTTTTAAATCTGAAGTAATGTCACAAAACCTTTGTCAAGAGACATACTTTGAGAGAAAGAGAGAGCTATAGCCTATAGCTACAGTTACATAACAAGCGGTTGTGCCAGAACTGGCCCTCCAAGATATTGAAACGAAATTGCAAAGAAAAAGTTTCAGTAGATTTAAATTCAACATAGGAAGTCTCATAAAAAAACTAATGACTAAAGACTAAGTATTGCGTACTTGACTGTTACTTAAGAATTCCCTTAGAAAAATAATAGTCAAATTAATTTTTTTTCTCACATTTTTATGTAAAGAGGGAACATTTTCGAAAGCTTGCCCTGAGTATATTCCAGGGTGAGTCAAAAAGTAATGCAAGTTCGTTTATAACTTAAAGAAAAAAGAACACACTTGCAACTATGATACCTCAAATTGAAAGGGAGCATCTGAGGATAAGATTTTTATTTCTTTTACCAAGTCCATCTATGCCAGCTGCGTAAAACTGAGCAGGTTGGTCATAGGGGTACAGCAGTCTTGATTTCTCTATTGTTCAATAGTCTTTATAGTGTTGACCTCTATTTGGTTCTTTTCTAGGACCGAAAAGGTGGAAGTCTAAAGGAGCTAAATCAGGAGAATAAGTTGGGTGGGGCAGTGTTTTCCACATAAACGGGATGATTATCATTATCTTCTTTGTTCTGGTACTCGAATGCCGGTGGGCATTGTCATGGTGAAAAAAACACTCTTTCCATGTTCAAATTTGGTCGGACTCGTCGAATTTCCTCTTTCCGTCATTTCAATGTTTCAATGTAGGGTTCAAAATTGACAGTTGCTCCTCGTGGTAAAAAAAAAATCAGTGAGAAGCACGCTTTGAACGTCCCAAAACACAATTACATGATTTTTCTGGCTGACTCCTCGGGACGATGCTCGGCTGATAAGCGTATGGACAAGTCTTCCTCTTTTTCTGGTTCATTGCACATACGCCCTGACCCACCTATATATAGAGTAAAAATCTAGAGCTGGTCCTAGTAAACATTTTGAAGTCAGTTTTGGATGTTATCGAAAGATTCTCCTTCTAAAACAAGAAATTCAATCACTGCTCTCTACCCGTGACAGACCTCCAAGAGGGTAGCCATTTTGATGTGATGTCATTCGGCCCAAAATTAAAGAAACATAAATTTTAACAATTTGAGTTCAAAAGTATATAAGCAAGTACTTGTGAGCTGAATTTAATTAAATTTGAGGTAAAATTGTGCAAAATAATGAACAACTTGCAGTACTTTTTGACTCCCCCTCGTATTATATGAAATGTTGATTTGTAAAATCCCAGAGGAAGTTTAAGCTAAAAACAACAGATTCACAGCGAACGAGCATAACTTAAAACAGTGAAAATTGCTGCTCATGTCAGAGTAATATTGTAGTATTATAAAGCTCATGTCAAAACTGTCAGTAGCCTTCTCTTCAGTCATCAGTCAGTTTTCATTCTGCGACTCTTCTGACCTCTTCTCAAGACATATTTCAAGCAGC